CTCGATCTAGTGGCGACGTCAGAGAGTACAGCATTTTTCGAGATGACTTTAAGCATGCTATTGAATCTAGATACAGTAAACGGGATGCAATGACGTACCTTCGTGCATGCTTGTAGGGAAAACCCCTAGAGCTTATTAAAGGAATTGGTACAGATTATGATGGGGCATGGCAGTATTTAGACTCAATCTATGGAGAACCCAGATATGCAGTGGCGTAGCCAGCCCGAAAATTTGGTCATGCTATGCAAATATTTCCGTGTTTATAGACCGTGAAAACAATCGATTTCTAAAGAAATGAATAATGATAATGATTTGAAATTTGCATAGCATGACCAAATTGTCGGGCTGGCTACGCCACTGCAGATATGTGTCGGACCAAGTTACCCAGGATCTGTCAAAATTCCCACCCCTGAAAGAAGGAGAAGACTCACGATTTTGTGATCTGGTGCATTTAGTAAAGCGTAGTTTCAATACGATGAAGGGAGTAGGAATTTTAAACCCCAAAACAAGTAATTGCAAATAGTATAGAACAGAAAATGTGTGTGGAAGATAGAAAGATTTGGGCTCGTGAATTGGAAAGGAATGAAAAGCCAGCAAGTTTACAAGGTCTCTATTGTGGAATTTGCTAAATTTTTAGGTTTTTTAGGTATTTTTGAGCAATAAAATGATGCAAATATGATTAAGTAGGGTTTAAAGTTTGTATATTTCCATTTTTGAAAAATGGCAAATTTCACTCAAAACACCACTTTGCGTTGTGTAAGACCACCATAAATATATAAGGAAGTTAGATTTGAACAGTTTCGGTAAATATATCATTTCATGTGCCTGGTCCATGCAACTGTCACTGGAGACTGACTGTGTTGATCTATTTATTGCCGATCTCTTTGCTCTTCAACGGAACCAAGGTTGTTTCTCTTAAATTCCGAAAACGTAAGGTATGTAGTAGATATTTCGGAATTAGATGAAAATCAAATTTTAATGACAGCAGATGTATGTTTGAAAATTAATCGGTTTTATATGTAGTTATATTTGTTAGTCTATACGATTAAAAATAATTGACAGTACTAAATATATAATAAACAATACATGTGTTATAATTGACTCGATTCAACGTCGTCATGAGGGAATAATTTCAAAACATATAGTGTTATTATGTGTTTGGTTTTTCACTACGAACATCCAGATATATTTCAGCATTCAAAAAAGCACTGAGCGACGACGAAAAAATTGTAAAATTATAGTAAAATAGTTAGAATAAATCGAGGGGTAATTTGATACATCAAGAAAATGCAAAAAAACCTGCGTAATCGACACAGCAGGGAAATGTGTATACAGTGTTGTTATATGTAATTATCTAAATTATATTACGTGCATGAAGTTTTGTGTGCGTACAAACGAACAAATAAACAAAACTATCTTGAAGCTTCATATTTTCAGAATTTAGTGTGCGAGAGTGTTTTTGAAAACAAATAAACTCATATAGAATAACTTTGAGAGCTCTTTTTTAGAACACTGTTGATTGTTGTTTTTACTACAATTGAAATTCAGTTTAATGATGCAGAGCAGGCCGGTGAATGTAAAAGGCGGAATGGAATTGCGGAATGGCTTGCGGAATGGATCCGGAACAAAAAATTATTTAAATATTCGCGACATTTTTTACGTGACAATTTTTGCGCGATAATCTTATGGCAGCATTTCTGAGTGTTTCTCCACGTTTTCAATACACCCTTTCGATAATTTAATGAACATTTTAAAATCATTTCATACACATGTATATTTTTGTCGAATGTGAGAAGTTTTCTGGATTTTAGATCCTCTCTAAAATGTTTTATTTATTTTGTAAATTTCAAAAGTTTGAAACATTCGAATATATTTTCCAAGATCATTTTGAGATTTTTCATTGGGAATAAAAATGGACAAATAGGATCGCCTGGAAATTAGAAAGTCGAACACAATTTTTTCTACCTCTGCTGCCACAAAATATTCTCAGAATTTTCAAACATTTACCCAAGTGGAGGTCGCTGTATATGAGAGAAACATATAGGCATTGCAATTTGTCTGCAAACTTCAGGTTTCGTAAAATGTTTTGTGTACACAATTTCGTTGTCTAATCGCGATTTAAATTATCTTTAAATTAATTGCCAAGACTAGATTATATTTATTTTGATTATTTGAGTATTCTTTTGACAGCTATTCCTTGTTATTCATTTAAATATTCAATATTCTTTGACCGAATAATTTCAACACTCAGACATATGCGTTTGCAATTATTATGGAATTGGCAGAAAAATCGGCCATTTTAAATTGGTCGTGTTAGTTCAGTTTTTAAAGCAATGAGAGAAAAAATTATCTCACTCGATAGTTAAATGCCTAATCTTTATTAGGATGGGAAAATTAAATCTTCATACCCAATACTTAACACACATTAACATGGCAAACGTTTTATACACCCGTTATATAATGACATAATTTAAAGAAGTGAAAGCATTTTCATTTTTCTACGTTTTATTCGACTATAGTTTAGTTATCTTCAGGAACGGATGAAATTACAAGCATGACAATGCCTTATATAAAGCCTAGTTACAGCTACTGTCTTTCTTATAGTGATGATGATATGCGTATTAATATATAGAACAAAATATATAAGTGTATACTTTGTTGTGTTCACGTTTACTATGACCAAGATATTGTTAGTGAGTTCCCTTCGAGCGTTAAGTTTTTTGAAGAAGGGTTATTAATGCAGCTAGGATTCATCCCGTCCACATATTTTCATGCTTTTCAGAACTTTCAATCCCTCGGTACGTAATACCTTGTTTTTCCAATAAAAGATTAAACAGTTAAATGTACAATTCATCAAGGTTAAGGTTCTAGCCCAGATCAGTGCGAGGTTTGCATTATCCAAATTATATGTAATTGTTTCTGGAGAGTTTATTCTCAGGCCAATGTAGACGCCCATTGAAATGGATATCACCACAAGACAAGCGACTGCTAGCAAACAACTCGATATATTTTTCAAAGAAAAGGTCTTTTTCATGTCATGCGATATTCTTTTGTTTTTACGACTTTTTCTGACGACTAGAAACAGTTTGTAGTTGATAAATAACATTGCAGAATGACAAGAATACAAAGAATTAGAATATGTACTTGGCTGGAAATAACAAAGTTGTTTACAGTCATCACTGCCATAGTTATTTCGACGATGATCAGTATTGCAAGAAGAGTTAAAAGTCTTCCCTTCGTTACCGATGTTTGATGAAAGATAGGATAAGATGTCGCCAAATATCGATCGAAATTCATCACCAAAAGAAAAAGAGCGAATGATGAAAAAACAAGGAAAATACCTGTTAATCTGAAGGAAATAGCAGGCCAACTAGCATTTAAATCCACCTTCCCTGTCAACCATAACATCGCGATAAGGGCCAACAGTGGATTATTAGTTAAAACCGCAAGCAAATCGCTACAGGACAAAACCATTATCACGAAATAACATAATTTCTGAAGAAAACAGACCTCCAGAAACTGAGTATGACCAAGGAATTTAAACATATTCCTGAGAAAAAGAAGAATACATTCACGGCAAATATGAATATGAAGTTGATAAAATGAATAGATTCCATCCTCGCGCGACTTCTTTTGAAGAATTAAACATAAAAATAACGCCGTTGCGTTTAAGTATAGCATCTAAATTAAAATTACTGTGTGTATAAATAACATATGTAAGTACTATATACATTTCATTTTCGAAGTATGATAATATGAAAAAGAGATGATATGTCTCTGTACTTCATGGAAGTTCATGCAAGTTTGCATATAAGTAATACCGCATGTATACAGGAGTGTTATGTAAGATGCACAAACTCGAGCCGCAGGCGAGTGGCTGTTATAACACTGACGCGCTCATCAATCTGATTTAGAACTGATAGAGCTATCCAAGTAATATAAATAATGTTAGTTTAGGTTTGCTACTGTAGTGACACTGGATCAATGTAAGAAATGACCCTTGCTGGGCCGCTATAGGGAAAACAGTTTAGAAATGAAGTTTCTTTCTTTAAATAATTACAGGTTTAGCCTGGTTTTTAGCCTTATCTTATAATGTGTTTAACTCGGCAGTAAGATGAAAGGTGCTGTTAGCTTGGCCCTTCTGTCCCCCTCAAAATAGATGTTTCGCCTTGCTCTCGAGTTGTTTTGATAACTATTAAGGTAGGCTATATGTTTTAATTATATTTGTTGACAAAATGATATTTACTTTACATAACTTTTAATTAAGACTTTTTTATATACTAAGCAAAGTAAATTTAAATTGTACGCTTTAAATTGTACGTTTTAAAATCCAAGCATTAATATGTCCACTGTTTATTTTTTACTTTTCAAACTTCAAATACTTTCTACATGAAGTATTATGTTGATCGTGCAATGTCACGTTCACAGACCAAACTTTTGATATATCTATTAGTGATGGGGGAACTTCTGTAATTTTGGGGGACAGGAGCATAGGCAGCCCCAAACTTTTCGGTGGTAAGGAACACGGTCTCCCGGAAAATTCTTTAATTATGGTCTCCGCTACGATATTTCGTGCATTTTAGACACGTTTTATGATAATTTGAAAGCCACAGATTTAGTATATTTTATATCAAAGATGAAAATATTAAGAGGTTACAGCCCCCGCCCCAGTTTCTGCTAAGTGTTGAAAGAATTGCAAAATTGATCCTGAACAAAAGCGTAGAGCACGGAGGAAGGGTGTCTGTCATATTATTATTATGATTTTTGGGCATCTCAGTTGATTGAAGAATAATGTTGAAGGATTTTGTAGATGGAAATTTCCAGTGTAAATTGTATACATTTATGATGAACTATCCAGGTCGACCCTGTAGCTCAGTTGGTTAGAGCACTGCACCGGAATCGCAGGACCACAGGTTCGATTCCTGACAGAGGGTCTATATATAGTTGCATTTTTCACAACTGTTCCTGGTTGGGTCTTAATAAATGTATAAAATTTACACTGGAAATTTCGTATTATTATTGTATGAATTTCAAACGTGCAATGCTAAAAGGTTTATTAAATTTTATAATTTATTTTTTAATTTTAGTAGCCTAATGTGTTTTTTTGCCAGCCATAGTATATAAAAATGTAATATTTTAAAGTTGTGTAAAGTGCATGATTATCTATAGTTTTCGTTCAACTTATATTTATTAGTTTGCAATTGCAGTTTTGCCTTTTCAAAACAACTTGAGAACAGGTGCGATGGTGAGACATGTAATTGAAAGTTTTGTTTTGAAAGTACAAGTGGCCCAAGAGAAAAAGCACGTTTCGTCGAGTCATTAATTACGAAATAAAACGAAATGCAAGCTCGATCGCGTCTCGCTTTCGATTTTTATATTAAAAACTACATGTCTCTATGTTATTCTAAACCAACTCACAAAATATTCTCAGAATTTTCGAACATTTGCCAAAACGGAGGTCGCTGTATATGAGAGAAACATTATGATAGAGCTATCCAAGTAATATAAATAAAGTTAGTTTAGGTTTCCTACTGTAGTGACACTGGATCAATGTAAGAGGTATAGGGAAAACAGTTTAGAACTGAAGTTTCTTTCTTTAAATAATTACAGGTTTAGCCTGGTTTTAGCCTTATCTTATAATGTGTTTAACTCGGCAGTAAGATGAAACGTTCTGTTAGCTTGGCCCTTCTGTCTCTTCAAAATAAATGTCTCGCCTTGCTCTCGAGTTGTTTTCCAAAACTGGAACGGTGATAACTATTAAAGTAGGCTATATGTTTTAATTATATTTGTTGACAGAATGATATTTACTTTACATAACTTTTAATTAAGACTTTTTTATATACTAAGCAAAGTAAATTTGAATTGTATGCTTTAAATTGTACGTTTTAAAATCCAAGCATTAATATGTCCACTGTTTATTTTGACTTTTCAAACTTCAAATACTTTCTATACTTAAAGTACTATGTTGATCGTGCAATGTCACGTCCACAGACCAAACTTTTGATATATCTATTAGTGATGGGGGAGCTTCTGTAATTTTGGGCGACAGGGGCATAGGCAGCCCCAAATTTTTGGGACGGAAGGAATATGGTCTCCCGGAAAATTCTTCAATTATGGTTCCCGATACGATATTTCGTGCATTTTAGACACATTTTATGATAATCTGAATGCCACAGATTTGGTATATTTTATATCAAAAATGAAAATATTAAAAGGTTACAGCCCCCGTCCCAGTTTCTGCTAAGTGTTGAAAGAACTGCAAAATTGATCCTGAACAAAAGCGTAGGGCACGGAGGGAGGGAGGGGGGTGTATGTCATATTATTATTGCGATTTTTGGGCATCTCGGTTGATTGAAGAATAATGTTGAAGAATTTTGTAGATGGAAATTTCCAGTGTAAATTGTATACATTTATGATGAACTATGCAGGTCGACCCTGTAGCTCAGTTGGTTAGAGCACTGCACCGGAATCGCAGGAAAACAGGTTTGATTCCTGACAAAGGGTCTATATATTGTTGCATTTTTCAGACCTGTTGCTGGTTGGGTCTTATTAAATGTATAAAATTTACACTCGAAATTTCGTATTATTATTGTATGAATTTCAAACGTGCAATGCTAAAAGATTTATTAAATTTTATAATTTATTTTTTAATTTTAGTAATGTGTTTTTTTGCCAGCCATACATTTTAAAGCGTAGCCATTCAGCTTTCTAACAGTGGGTTGTTTCTTAAATTTGA